TAGAACACTTAAATTATCTTACTCATTCATATCTAATGAAGTGAAGAAATATATGATGACGAAACCTTGCAATAGCCAACTCAGGAATTGATTATGAAAATTATCGATTCGAAATTTGAACACCCTGTTGTTCATTATTTTGAAATCAAATAGTTATTCTAGTTAAAATTGCCCAATTTCTCACTTCTACCTACGGCTATGAACGGTTTGACAAATAATCTAACCCTCAAAATTGTTTCTGACAATCATTGATACTAGGGGAATTGAAGAGACAGAGCTCGATATATATGTCTTATTCCTTTATTCAATCATCAATGCATTTTTTGAAAACAGAAAAGGACAGAAGTATAGCTGTGTCCGGACTCTTGTCCAAGTTATATACAGGGACTCTAACATATACGTCAATTGTTTCTTGGGTATAATAAAGATGATGATGATGATGATGAAATATAGAATACTCAGCCTATCTCAAATTATTGGACTAACAAATCTCACGAAGTGACCTTTCCATAGGAGTTACGTCAGTACGTGAGATATATTTTTATTATTTCTTGAAAATTCCAACAGTGACGTATCTCACATCGGGTTTGCCGCGGAAATTAAAATATCTTGGGTGACGTCTCAAGGTTCTGAAAGGGGTATTGTATGGTATTGTACGAATGTAATTCGAATGAATTCCTGTGTTTTTATCAATTAAAATTAGTATTTGGATTTGTTATTCATTTGATTTCACTTTATATCCATGGGCGTATCTAACAAACATGATCTCACGTAGTGACGTATCTTACAAACATTTTTTTCTTTTCGTTGTTGACGATGCTTTTTCGAAATCTCACCATATCATGACAGCTAGTCCTAGTTCATCAAGTAATGAATGAAAAAATAATGAACTTTCATGGAAAACCTCTTAGTTATAAGCGAATTAAGATGTTGAAAATCTTTGAACTACTCTGCTGTAAAATTGAGAAAACTGAGATACGTCACTATGTGAGATGACCGTTGATATGGTACCCAATATTTTTTGACACAATATGAAAGAACATTGAATTTGAGTATGAGTAGGCCATTTAGCCACGTGATAGAAGCGTCAGTATCCTATTCACGTTGGATTTCCGGTTCGTGGGTTCGAATCCAACGACTGCAGACATTTTTCTGATGGCCTAAGGAAGTATTTGAGAGGACACGTTAAAAAGTAGTGCCTCCATCATTCCTAGCCAGCACAAGTATCTTGAAGACTTTTGAGGGTTGCTCGTAAGGGGGCAACCAGATGACGAATAAGAACAACTTCAGAACTCTAGTTACTTGAGCATTCTCTATACCTAACTGAAACCTCTATAAAGTTCAACGGCAGGAAGGACTGCTCGAATTCAACTCCACAAATTTTAATAATGTTGTTACATAATCAGAGGGGGCATGTTTCAGTCTTCTAAAAGACCATCTTCAGCGTAATTGAAAGTTCTATGATACAAAAAATCAATGTGAAAGAATTACATTATTTGTTCTTGACTCACATGGAGTTATTCAATGAAAATCAAGAGATGCCTCATCTTGCAGAGAGATCATTTGCTTTTTCAATCACTCAAGCGACAGATCATCCAACTACCCAAATGCGAAAGCTTTGATGCCGACTCTGATATTCGATAGCTCAAAATTCGTGACCTTGAATACCACCATATACAGGGAGGAAAATTAATCATTGATTTCACACATCACCCTTCGACCTTAACTGAAAATAACACAGATGGAGGTGCAAGTTAGGTATAGGAAATACTTAAATAACTCACCCTCATATTCAAATTCCTTCCATAAAGTATCGATAAAATGGTATGTTCTATTCGAAAGAGTTGAGTTTACAAATTCAATTAACTTTCATAGAGTGTCGATAAAAATAGTGTTCCATTTGAAAAAGTTGATTTTTCAATTTTTCAATATTACCTTTCAAAATTGCCCATACTCATATGGTACAAAATAGGACATTCGATCGGACATCAAGGGTTAGCCTGGACGTCCGGCTAACTGTTCCAAACATTATTTCCAGAAAGATCGATATATCACAATAACTGTGATACATAAGTTCGACATAAATTAGGTGTCCATTCAAAATAAGAGAGTTGGTACCGACTTTTGGCATACTCTGTATAGCTTGTCAATTAAATCTATTACAGCATGAATATTAATTTTAATGAATATGTATTTACTTCTTTTTGTTACTATATGAGATGATGAATGAAACTTATTATTGATTCAACTGAGAGTTGGAAAATTTCTGATTTCTAATTTGTGGCCTACTTGTAATCTCCAAGAGTAATCTAATACCTACTATCTCTCCCTATCTCTGCTGTTGTACAATGCACAAAAAATGCAGCGGGAGACGAAGGAATCCGGTTGGTACATTATGATTTAAAAGTAAGTACCTACTATAGTCACTCACATATAGTTTTCATTTTTGAGATTTGGTAATTTCTCTGATTTCTCATCGGAATTCCTTCTGCCATAGGAACTAATAGAAATAGAGCAAGAAGATTGGATTCATGCAATGAATTTTCAATCTTCTAGCAGTGTTAGCTTCTATTGCAGAAGTGGCAGAACGAATTTTAAGAAGAAATTACAAAATTTCATGATGAAAACTATGTGAGATTACTATTTGCCTGAAAAATCATATTCCTTTGTCTCTCGCTGCATTTTTTGTGCATTGTACAACAGCACAATGAGAAGGCATGCTTGAATTAAAGAATAGCGCAAAAAACACGATATGTATGCCAAAAAATTGTGAAAAACTATTTCAATCCTCTGTAAACAAATAAAAAAAGTGAGGTTGTGTTTCAATGTCTCACAGAAAGGTGAGGTTATGTTTCAATATTTTACCTCCAGGGTCGGTCATCGTGTACGCAACCTATTACCAGAGGATTTTTTTATCGCTTGGAGCACACGAAAGGAAATCCCTATAATGTTCAAAGGACATCGTGCGTTCCAATGGAGGATAGGACAGGAGGTAGGTATTGGCATAGATCTAATTACACATCTGATGTAACTCTAGAAGACTGTTCTAATTCATACTTTGCAGGATACTTGGCAAAAGAGTGCGTGGAAAAATTCGAATGTAATAAATGTAAAGAATTTCTGATTGTGGATGATACTGATATTATATTGAATGATCCAAAACAACTACTAATCATTAATAAAAACTATGGCACTAGCATTCAACATTTGAAATACCCTGGTGATGACCTCAAGAGTTTGGTAGAGAGAGCATTGACATATTTCTCTAAAACGTTCAACAAGAAGCCATATAGAAATAAAACAGGATTATTTTTGAAAAACTTCTTAAGAAGTGCCAAATTCTCCAAAGAGTTGAATGTAAAGAGCACATGGATTTTATTGTGGATCATCTCATACTATGTAAACTTTATAGAGAATGTAAAGAAATGTCCAAGTATAATGAAAAATCAGAAACTAAAAAACATCAGGAATTGAGTATATTGAAAAGTTGAGAAATTATAAGTATATCTACCTTCTGAGGTAATCTCAATTGATTCAGGTTTCCTGTTTTTTTTTGCGTTTGGATAGCTCTTATTTTCATTAAACAATGTTGGATATTATTTCATTGAAACAAGCTGTAATACGTACTAGTTTTTTTATAATTATTTTATTACAAATTGAATTCCAGAATGATCTTCCAGACTGGAGAAGTACCTGAATACTTTTGAGTTTCAAAATGTACCTATATGGTGTGAATATTCTAGTAAATACATATTGTTGCACAACCAAAATGCTATTTCGATCTCACAACGAAGAAAAAAATAACTCAGTATTGAATGATCATTGCAAAATTTTCAATTTTCGAGATTAAAAAGAAAATATTGAGACGTGCGCCATATTTAATGTGTAATAACGTATCGTTTTTGGTCAATATCAAATGCCTTTTGATCAAGTATTTAGATATATAGATATCCCTTTTCGAATATTCATATTTTGTGAGGTTAAGTCCATAGAAACAAACATCTGTGCTAGATATTTTTTCAAAAGACACTAATTTTTCTTGCTTCATATTTTCATAAACACTCGAGACATCAACAGTCCTTTAATTGAAAATTTCTTGACAGTTCTAACAACCATTCGAATTTCATCATTTTGTGTCATATGATACAATTTCACCCAATCATGTCAACATTACATTGATAATTGCATTCAGTGCAATTATCAATCACTATGACAACACGATTGTCAAGTAAATTTTCCGCTGAATATCCTTCCGACATTGACAAATGCGTCATAATATTATGACTTATTTCTCAAGCTCGTCCTGGGAAGGAGCTTTCGATTGTCATAAAATTATCTCGTCTATTATTAATGTCCTAGGGATATTACTACTGATAACTAAACTCACCTGCTTACTTAAATCACAGTAGGTAACCTCATACCATCACAATATAGATACCTAAATATTTCAAGAAAACAAATTAGCCAGAGTTGCACAGCCCCCTTGCCAAGCAGTAGTGACGCCCATGGAATAAATGAAAGGGTGTATATTGTCATAGATCTAAATCATAGATCCGGTACTTCATGGTTGAAACTTCAATAGTGCATGATCCGATTATTCCGATTTAGTCCGTAATTAGTTAGATATCTATGGTTAGATCAACGATTTATGAATCTTCCATATTACCCATTCCCCCTCTACGATGCCACATTGTTTGTTTTTAGACACGAATTCCATTGAACAAGCCCCGCCTACGATTAACCCAGAGATTATACACACCCTCTGATTTAGCTAAGGTTTATGAAAAATTAGCGATCTGTTATTTTTAGACGTTCCGCTACTACCTAATAGATGGCAAATAATTCGCACAGGCAGAATGTTCGCCATATACGTTGACCATCTATTGTGTAATTAGATCTATGGTATTGGAATTTTTTTTGAACTTCTGGAGATTATATGTTGTTGGGAATACTTCCTCAGGCAATGAATTCCAGAGACATATGAGTGAAAAATGACTCACCAAAGGATGTGGCTGGTCCTGAGTAGACATACCTCCACCGGAACCTTGTGCTGGCTGTTTAATTTTGTCGCAGTAGTCACTTAGGATGTCTCTGAACCTCTGCCAGCTTTTCTCAGGTACAGTGATAGCTGTTCGAAAATTCGTTTTCACTTCGGAAATGCGCATGTAAACACCTCGATTATTTTGGCCTGTGGACAAGAAAAGAGAATGTCAACTTCAAGGGTAATTATTGTTATTAGAAGCTTTTATTTAACTTGCAATGTATGGATGTATGTATGTATGTTAGTTCGGGTTGAATCTTTCAACTCAATTTTGAAGTAGATATCTTCAACCGATTGGGCTGAAATTTTGTATACACGTTTAGTTTGGATGACAATGCACGATGAGGTGTGTAAAGTTATTCTGAATCCAATATGGCGGACCATCCAAGATGGCGGAATAGTGATTTCTAATGCACTTCTTCGATATGGATATCAAATGAAAGGGCTCGTTGAGAGTAACTCGAAAAATAATGTGACGTCATTTAAAATCCAAAATGGCGAACCATCAGGGACGGCGTAATAGTTATTTTTAATGCACTTCTACAATATGGGTATCAAATGGAAGGGCTTGTTGAGAGTAACTCGAAAAACTCAGCAGATTTTACAAAATTGAATTAGTACTAGTTTAGCCTTTATGATCATATAAATTGTGTATAATGAGGTTATTTTATTTTATCCTTTTCAGAGTGTTTGAATAAAAGCTTTTTATTAATTTTTTTTTTACTTTCAATTCATTTTTGTTTCAAAACACTTTAATCAGATACAAATTAGGATGAGTCAGGAGGAATATGTTCTTATAAGATTCTCATTTGTTTTCAAAATATAGCGTAATCACAAACAAACAAAATGTCCTACATTAACATACTTTTAATTATAGTGCTGTTTCAACACATGTTCAAAAATACCGCCATTAACCTCTAAACACATTCTACTTCGTCTGCGAAGGGCTCTTGTTGCTTTTTTGAGTGATTCATGTATTTCTCTGAGAAACACTGCCGCATTTCTAATGCATCGAAATAGGGCTTCCCGATTGTCGACTTTCACTTCGTACACCTCATTTTTAAACCAGCCCCACAAACAATAATCCAGTAGTGTGAGGTCTGGAGATCTTGGATGCCAACTAATAGGACCATCGCGACCAATCCATAGTCCTGGAAATTCTTCGTCTAAATATTGCTTGACCTGACGAGCGAAATGTGCGGAAGCTCCATCGTGCTGATAATACATTTGCATTCTGATGTTAAGAGGAACTTCCTCTAATAATGCTTTTAACTCATTTCGCAAAAAATGAGTAGTTCTCTCCTGTGAGACGATTTGCTAAAATCTTGTGTTGAAAATTAGTTTCGACTGTTGCTTGTGGATTTTCGTCTGACCATACATGAGAGTTGTGAGTATTATTGATGCAATCAAGGGCGAATATATGCGCGATACAACAGGACGATTATTATTTATCCAACCACAAAATTATATATCAAAGACTGGAACGTTTGGCACGATAATACACTACACTGTTTTACCACTAACCAAACCCATTTTTTAACGCCTCGACACGTGTTTCGCTAACTATGTTAGCATCTTCAGGAGAAGATTAAAACTAAATATCCTATTCTGCTTATATACTAGGTATATGTTCACCCAACTGTGAAAAATACTAACCGTCAAGTTAATGTTTGTCATGGTTGAGTTCACATGTTAATCTTAATTTTTATTTTACTAAACTATATAGAGGGCTATATGGAATAGGTCCATTATCCTTATTCATTACTCTATTACTATTGTAACGGTTCACTTTGTGACCCTTATACTTACCAACTCACCACAACTTTATTTACACGTAATTTGTCGGGATGCAGTGTATTCGACATCACAATCGCCGAGAATCATTTCGGAAATCACTCTGTAACACGACACAGCAAATATTCAATAAATAATAAACCAGTCCTGAACGTTCACTCCGCCTGTTTGCTCGCTATTATTATTCCTGCGGTAAGGTTTCGTTCGATGATGTGCTTTCATGTTTATATTAGTCCTAGTATTCCTCAGGGATAAATAAACAAATAATATCTTGTGTCAAAATATTTTACTTTTGAGGTTACTATATGCTTCTTTCCATTTTTCTGTCAGATTTGTTTTCTGTCTTCGGTAGGTACTTAATTTCGCTAGTACTACGATTAATTTAACATTGCCTTTACCGAACTCTACAAAGTAAATATTGTCGGACTACTTCACACCACACTCAACGGCCTTGATGGGTTGTTCTTGCTGTTGCAATGTTCTGTGAACGAGCGTAGTAAGGTGTGATCTGGTCTTGAAAAGATTGAAGAAGAGAGAATTGTTTCTCGCTCGAGTCCAATACCTCGCTCTCTCTCTCGAATGGCTCTGAGCTGAAAGGCTGCACGAGATTCCGCTTCAGAGAATTTTTCATTTAAAATGAAGCCAAATATAATTATGAAGGCCGATCAACACCTATAGGCAAGTACTAAAATTAATACGATTTGTTTTGATATTTGAACCAACAGAAATACACACACAAAAAAGCATATTCATCAATCTAAACCTTTGCAGGCCTTCTTCTTCCACCATCACCTTCTACCTTTTGGTAATCCCATCGCCATCTTGGGAAGCCGCTAATATGGCAACCTGATACCTGATAGTTGCATCACTATTTTAAGAATGGATGTCCGGAATAATTATTTTCTTCCACTATTATTGCATATGGGGAAATAATTACTCCAAGGTTCCTCCGAATATTGAATTTTCGAGACGGATGCCATGTTAAAACCACTACCCAAAACCTGTTTACAAAATCTTGTGTGATATGGATGAGCTACTGTAAGTAGATTTTACACAATTTTTCTTGATCGCCGACGTGATGAGAAGATGAACCTCAACGTTATATTATCACTACTTCAAATTACATATTTACTATGAAAACACTATCCTCATTCTAGTATAGATGAAGAGGTAGAGTTTAACATTTTTCATTATTTTTTGTATTACAATATTCTTCCTTTTGTAAGGAGGGATCTATCAGCGCTGATAAATCATTCCCAGGATCCTTAATTATCATTACTTTCGAAAGTCATTCAAAACAGTGTGTAAAAGCTTCAAATTTCAATATCTCCCATTTAAAGCCACAGTGAGGCCTTTAAATTAAGAGTTTAGGATCTAATTAAGTAATCTCTACTATTAGTGATACTAACAACTTCTGACTAAATGCAATTTGATATTGTGAATTCGTAAATTCAAAACTGCTGCTGATATTATAGATTTACAGGTAATCTCACCATAAGTGTGTTGTTTAATCTTCAATAATATATATTACAATAGGAAAATAGGTCAATTTTGCATGTTAGATGAAAAGTGATCACTATCAATAATTATAAAGAGGTTTTGGGAAATCCTGTGTATGAATATTTTTGTTTTGTCCTCACCCTATCCTTCCCAGCATATACTGGGTGGCGCCCAAAATTTACCCATTTGTGAAATTGCATGAAATAATTTCTTTCCCAACTTTTTGTGAACCCACACCAGTGCTCTACCACATTTTGACTGCCGGGTTGTGAGACCTTAATTTCTCTTATGCGAAATTAGGTCACACTATTCTTAAATATCTCTAAGCTTTCATATGCGTCTAGTTTTCTAATGTTATTAATTTGCTTAACTAATTTGAGGTTAGTAATATATGTGTTATGATTGTGATTGAACATATGTTCGGCTACACAAGATTTATCTAACCTGCCATATTTTAAATGGGTTATGTGTAGATACGTAGCACGTGTCGAGGCGTTAAAAAATCGGTCTGGTTAGTGGTAAAACAGTGTAGTGTGAACCACAAAATTGCATACGCCTAACATAATCTTCCGGTTGTAGGTGCTGTACACGATGTACATGGTATGGATATATTACTGGCTCGTGAAGCTTGTTGATTACTCTTTTCTGTGGAATGACCAATTGAGTAGAAATTCTTCGTGAGCTGGTCGTTGCACCATCTTCTACCAAATTCAGAATATTTTCTACTTCTAAACCTTGTCGAGTTGCTCGTTCAGATGTTATCTTAGTACTGGACAGAGTTCAGGTCTCGCAAAGTTTGTTGAAAACTCTGATAAATACGTTTTTGTCCGGATTTCTACGGTGTGGAAATCGTCGACATATTCTTGAACAGCAGCTGTAGCATTCCCATTACAAAAGCCGAAAACAAAAACCATATTTGCATATTCTAAATTTGAATGCATGTGTGGAATTTTATAAGACTTTAATAGTACAAACTCGAAAATAAACGCGTCAAACACACTGACACTAACACATGTCAGAACAAAACAACACACCGACACTGACACTAACATATGTCCCAACAACAAAACGGACCAACACACACCTGGAGATTGGTTCGTTCCTCTCGACTCACCCTGTATATCATACATATCACATGCTATCAAATATCTATATCTATAAAAAAATCGAAATTATCAATATGAATTCAAGTGCTTGTGTTCCAAATTAGCAAGCACATGCTGGTGACGGAACATTTATTATATAGTAAATATACAGGGTGATTCACATAAGAACCGACATAGAGCAGGGGCATGTAGGGGGTCCCAAAATATGGCAATTTAACGCAACTTACCTCTATCCGATGTTGCTTCCCTAGGGAGTTATAGGCTTTGAAAGTGAAGTTATAAATTTTGAAAAAAATAAATATCTCCGTTATTCTTGAACTTGAAGCAACCAAATTTGGTACACTTTGTGGATGTATTCAGGGCGTTACTTGACAGTAACTAGAGCTTAATTGAAATTTGTACCGGGTGGCGCACCATTAATATTCAACAGAATTTTGTTAACCCTTGATGGATTTCAAAAATCTTTGCTTTGTTATGTGGGCAATTCAATTCTAAAACTTTTCTTACCCTAGTAATTTTTCGAAAAACCCCATCATTTTCATCAAAAACTCGAATAACTGAAAACACGCGCTCTAGGTGTGTTATTTAAATTCATCAAAAATTCAAAAGTTGGCTATCAAAATAAACGTTCAACAAGAAAGTAGGTCATTAATTGTGATCAGTAGAAATTGGCTGGCAAATTATTATTTAGATACGTAACAAAATACGTAGTAAGGACAGATACTGAAATGTGAAAAACTGGGATTA